CACAAAAAAACGCTGCAATAGCTATTTTCAACAACAAAATGATAAACAAATCATCGGCGTAGTGAAGAAAAGCATTTACTTATTAAGTCAAATTTCTTCTGAAAGTAGTACAAACTAATCTGATGTACCTATTAAAGTCTACTTTAAGCTTTAAATCAATAAATCTTGAAAACTACTGAACTGAAGCTCATGTATTTTACATCATTATAAATGGAATTGAAAGACCTTTAAAATAAGGTATCACTCGACCCCCCTTTCCATTTAAGATTTTAGGGTTGGTGTCACCCCCGCCGGGCGACACGTGTTAACGTGATTTTTTGCCAAACTTGTCACCCCTCGAAAACAAAATCGATAGGTCGGAGCGTTTTTAAAAAAAAACTGAGCTGCCAGTAAATGCGTCTGTTTCGTTTTCGATGCGCCACCCTGTATACGATGTGTATTTAGAATCTCACATAGATTCCAAATATTGAATAATTTAGATGATAATCAATTTAAAACATCAAACCTACTTGCGATACAGCCATGATTTTGAAAATATTTTTGGCGAACTGCTCTCATCAGTTATACTAAAAACTCAAATGTTTATAGCTGTCATACGTCAACTTTTGAGTAAAACTGTGTACCTAAAAGGTTTTCCCATCCTGTATAATTTGTTACAGTTTATTTGAACCTATAATAGGGACATAAAATTTAAGTAAATGGAAATTGATGGCAGTTGATAGCAATAACTGTAAAAGCAAATCGGCAAAAGAAAATTGCATGTCGTACAGGCTGAATGTTCAATAAAAGCGTAATAAGAATATATTATTATGTGCTCTTCTTTTCTTCGAGGATGGAAGTTTCTATATTCATTTGCCGAATAAATGGGAAGCCCTGACCTAGGATTTTTATGATGATGGACGCTTATGCACTTCAGTATCATAACTCCTTATTGAGTAGTGCTTCGGCTCCAGCTTCGGGTTATTTTGTGGACTGCTTTGAAATTGGATAGAAATATTCTTGGTGAATACGAAAAATAGTAACTTGTGATAAGCGTTTGCTCTAGAAGTAAAGAGCTTTAAAATGGAATGAATCAAATAAATCATTAGGGTAAATAACATCAAAAAGGGAACTGAAATTCGGTTAGACAACCTCTAATATCTGGTAAGGTTTTGAAATTATTCTGCGTGTACGGCAAAATCACAAATAACGAGGTATATTCAATCCAGAAAAATCACAACCAACTCAAAATTAACACACGATGCAACAAACCTGGCAGACGTTATAACAGCATCCTTTTCCAAGCTTTACAGTCTGATCATATAAAAGGATGTCTTTATTCTAACATTTGGATTGTTTAGCTTGAACCGTCGAACAATATGTACAGGGTGTCCCTCCATAAAATGACCCTCAATTAACTTTCTATGACCATCTAGACAACATGTACAAACAAATAATAGTGCCTAATATAGGACCTTTCATGCAATTTCCTTTTTCTCAGTGATGATAGTCCCTCTTTTTAATTCCAAATAAATATGGGTTGTTACACTTGTTTTATTGCTTTGGTAAAAAATTTAAGATCAAATTTCTGAGATCATACTACATTGATTAGAATAGAATTCCCCGAGAAGAATCCCTAGAATCCACCAAGACCCCTAAGGGCCGCGTAATACGATATGAAATTTGTATATGCCAACTGACATGTTGCGTTGATGTACATATGACATAACCTCACTGGCCAGGATGCCAGGTTGCCAAAAAAAATCATATTGTGCTATGTGGTCCTGAAATGGTCGAATGACTTATAAAGTCACTGACAAGAAAGTTCATTAAAGACCGGATGTTCTTCTAAGTAGGAAACACCAAGGAACTCTAGTACATCTTGTGTAACTATAAAGAGAGACAGCTTAGCCTAGTCTGGTAGATATCCTCTGAATGGACAGCATTCAAAATTTTGAAAACCTTCAGACTGATTGACAGAAGTCACCGGGTGAACTTGGCCATACTGAGTTGTGTTATTTATCGGCAGCTTTAGTCAATACCGAGCGATATTCAGCAACTGAGTGCAACTGAATTACTTCTGTCCGAACCTCGCACTTGGCTGGATCAAAAGTGGGTACCTCCATATCGGACGGCTGCTGCTCCAATAACGCGCGACTCAATCCTCACCTGCATACAGTATGGCGGTGTCGTCCGCAAAACTGACTATTTTACCAGTACTGGTAATTTTGAATATATCGTGCAAATAAATATTGAGTAGCTGTGGACCCAAAATTGTACCTTCTTTAATACACATGCTGTGCCAGAAATAACATACCAGAGTGACACGAGAGGTAGAATGTCTGTAGATCAATCAAATAAAATCAACATGTCCTTAGTAAAAGTAAAAAAAATGTACCAGACTGAATCGGAAAATGATCTTAAAAAGTCAACCTTACTTAAATCTATCCATTTTTTTAGAAGATGTGCCTCTTGAGACAGGAAGAAGGATGTGGTTACAGATTGATGGGTGCCCTGCATACTATGCTAGTGCAGTAAGGGAGTACCTTGATGAAACAATACCTAGAAGATGGATTGGCCGGCTAAGACCAATTTTGTAGCTCCCACGCTCCCCAGACCTGAACCCTCTGGATTTTTTTAGTGAGGATGTTAAGAACGTAAAATCTACGGAAAACCAGTTCGATCATCCAATGAACTGCGTCATCGAATCCGTCAAGCAACACGCAAAATATCCGATTTAAGTTTTAGACATTTAAAAGGACAATTTTTAAGAAGCTGCAGGTTGTGTATAAGAGTTTGTGGTAATTTTTAAAATATGTTATGAAAATAGTAATAATAATGATGATAATGATAATTTTTCAGGCAATATTTACACTAGATGTTAATTTAATTTTCATTTAGGTAATTTAAGATGTTAATAATGATTCCTAATTATTTATTTGATTTGATTCGTGAATCAATGGTGATAAAAAAATACAACCTAATGTTCTGTTTATTATTTTGATGCTGGCATACAGCAATGAATAAAAAAGGATAATGGATGGCTGTTTTAGACGTTTTTTAAAATAAAAAGCTATTACAACATCTACAGAGTTGTAATTTGGACACAAATGACAGCTCCACTTATTATTTTTTATTTGTAGTATTTCGCAAATATTACGACTTCAATGACAAAAGTTGGAGTTATTCAGTCTTAGTAAATAGAACCCACAAACGTTATACTATTGAAAGAGCTAGTATGGCACATTTTTTCACAGTAATTTATTAGTCAACCTTTAGTGAAGGTTGTCGCATTGAAACCAAATGTAATAATTTAATTTTTTTAGCATACCATGCTAATTGTAGCCTAGGAAAAAATCGTAAGTTAGAAGTTCTTTATAGCCATAACAGGGAAAAAAGAAGCAAAATATAGGGATTTTTGAGAAAAGTGGCAATATTTCGAAAATTAGAAAACTTTTACTAAGGTCATGTTGATCTTATTTGATTGATCTGAAGCCAATCTACCTCCAGTGTCCCTCTGGCGTGTTATTTCTGAGACACCCTGTATAATTCTATAAACAATTTTCCATTAAAGTATACTCTTGCATATTTCCGCTAGAACTTATTAACTTTAAAATTCCCAGAAGAATATTGTGTTAACTGTGTCAAACGCTTTTTGTAAATCGACAAATACGCATATAGATGGTACCTTTTCATCCATATATTGGTTAATTCCATTTACTATACTTGATAATATTTCATCTGCTGTAGATCTACCAACTCTATGGAACCACATTGATTTGAATGTTTGAATGAATTTTGAATTAGAAGTGTTGCCTTCCACTGTGGCTTGAGGTCTTTGGGACCCTGTTTCTGCTTCAACCCTCGTATATGCAAAAATCCGCTCAAGTCTGCTATAAGAAGGACATCCTTTTAATATGACTAGACACGGAACACCGAAAGCTATGGGTTGCATCCTGAGTATAGAAAAGACAAAGGAGAAAACTAATGTGTACATGTGCGAACTGTGGTTGGCGCATTTTCATTGGCTGTGGTTGTGGTGGTGTTGGTGTCGGCTTCATCTCGAGCATCCGCCTCGTGGTTCATCACCTTTTTTCCTCCTGTCGAAGTCGAGGTCGGCGTTGAAGTCCGTCGATTGGCGTCCAGCATGGCATCGGTGGCATTCGTGGTCGATGGTTCGGCGTCGTTGGTGGCATTGGCGGCAAATAGAAGACGATTTCGATCAGAAACTGACGTCCCGTAAACAGACAGACAGAGCGGCACCACAACAGAGACAGTCAGAAGCACACATCAGATTAAGTTTGAATTTTACGACAGGTCATACGCTAAATGGTTTGTGTGTTTGTTGATGTCGTAGTACAAGCGGTTAGACAAAAGTGTTTGGAACAGCAAGAACGCCGGATTTTAATTTGCCGACATTTTTTTGTACAAATTTCCAGCCGGTGTCATCTCTTGGTTTGGCGATCAAAATTGGCCACCAAGATCGTGCGATTTAACGGCAATCGAATTTTTCATCTGGGACTATGTAAAAGCAAAGGTGTATGCGAACAAGCCTCAAACAGTTGAACGTCTAGGAGATATACGGCGCGTCATCGACGAAATATCGCTACAGTTGTGCGAAAACGTTAATTTTAAGAAAAGACTGACCCTGTGCCAGAGGTTTCCATTTACTGGATGTCCTATTTCATGTTTAATCGCAACTATTTCTCTTCATGTTGAAATACAGGGTGTTTCAGTTTATTGTTGCATTACTTTAAGATTCGATAGAATTTATAAAATTAATGCATAAAGTCTATATAAACATGGGTCGAAAAATGCGTGGCTTCCGAAATACAGGGTGTTTAAATTTACTTTTTAAAATAGTTTTTTTTTAATATTTTGAACAATATTTGATGCATAACAGTGAAAATTGGTATACAAGGGTTTTTTGATACGACAAAACGAACCATGGGCATAGTTTTACTGTAGCCGCTAGAGGGCGCTCTCTACTGTACCTGTAGTGTATTACAATGACCGAAAATTTATTCTTAGTGCAATTTTTTGCTTTTTGAATAAAAAAACTGATTCTTCGCACTTTTCTGCATAAAAAAGCTCTCCTGTGAGTTTTCGTTATAGTTAGCCGTTTTTGAGATATTTCGATTTTTAAGGTTCGATGCATTTTTAATTATTTATGATAAAATAACGTTAAAAAGTCAGTATCTCGATAATTTTTAGAAGTAGGCTGTGCCTGCAAATATTTTTGAAATTGAAAGCAGAATAAGGTTAAACGTCAATTAGTTGTCTTTTGACACCTGAAACGTTTTTTTGCAATTGTGAATGCACGAAATTTAGTTTCTTTTACCTGTTTTTTTCTTCACATTTACGGTGTTAAAAATAAGGGTTTCATTTAAGAAAACTGTCTTGACTTTCAAATGACCTTGAAGGTTCATTGGCAAGGATATACTTGAACATAAAGTGGTCCGCAATTTGCATTTAAAGAATAGAAAATAGAAGCCTTTCGTTAAAAATTCATTTGATCTTCAAATGACCTTGATGGACATACTTGAGCATAAAAACCATTATTACCGATATAAAAAGTAAGAGTTTACATTTAAGAAAACTGTCTTGACCTTAATATTTGCTTGACGGTCATAGTTAAGGAGACGTTCAAGGTCAACACTAGATGAATCGTATCAAATGTTACAACTTTATTACACATTTTTTTTTATTAAACGTTTTTTGTGGCAGTTTGTCTTTTCAAGGTCATAGGAGAAGATATACTTTAACGTCAAATGACAAAAATAGGGGTTCTGTTTAAGAAAATGGTATTGATCTTCAAATGACCTTGTCGTTCTTAGTCAAGGTCACCATGAAATGTATTTTTCCAAACCTTACAACTTTATTACACCATATTTTTCTTTATGAAACGTATTTTTCGAGATATTTTGATCTATCCATACTTTTTGAACACCTTGTAAAGTTTTTATGTCTCCCTGTATTGTGGTTCAGATATGATGACAGAGTGGACAAACATTCACATTTATATATATGTATAGGTATTGATTAACCGAGTATTCGGTTTCGGACGAAGGTTGTGTTAAAAGTCGAATTTCGGCTTCAGCTTCAGCCAAAAAATTGAGCTTCAGTCGGACCCTAAGACTGAACCCAGAAAGCCAATTTAGGGTAACATAAAAGTTCGAACTTTTGTTCATAACGAAATCGTTCGAATTAAGTTTGACCAGGTGTTACCTCAAAAGACACATGATTATGCCCATAAACAATGACACCTTTGAATGAACCGCCTGTACTAATCACTTTTATGTATGTGTTATATCGTGTATGTTTGTTTATGTTATCATATGCGGAGGCCTTATTATAACACCATTCTTCGGCAGGTTACAAGACCAGCCAAAATCCAACTGGTTTCACTTGATTCGCAAATGTCAAAAAACATACTTCTCATCAACTTCAAAACTCATAGTGACTTTCAAGTATGCAATAGAAGATTTAGTAAATCTGATAGGTGTACACAGAAAACCAAATACTACTGACGACGAAATGTGAACGAGAGAGAAGCGCATGTGTTAGAAAAAGATAAAAGCACCTCGTTGGCTAGCAACCTGAGTGAAGAGGCCACACAAGTTATCTTTGTAACACACATATTTCATCGAATTTTTTTCTCGTACAGGCTAAAAATGAACCTCACTGAATGTGTTACTCAATAATTGATACAAGGAACTTATTTTCGCCTGGAGAATACTTTTTTATTATGACTTGGATACAATCTGGCAAGAATATTATCTAATATGATTTCACAAACTGCACCCTACTCGTATTTGTACCTTGAAAACAGTGATTTATACTTGCGAGACCCCCGCATATGAAATATCCTATAGTTCCAGAATAGATATACATAATAATTCATTTTACAAGAATTTTGACCCAGAAATTGCATTTATGTATATCTATTTTTGGATGTAGATGGTACATAGATGTATCTATATAATCGCGATTATCGTCAAACATCATCTAATAAAGTAATCTAAATGCAATTCTACGCACAAAGAATCGAACCCTATGGCTCGGCCAAACATTCCAGGAACAACTGAAGCACGATAAGATGAGGCGAGTGGTATTTATTCCTTTTTGAAATTTTCTCAATTTAGTCTTAAAATTAAAATTAAATTATTTAGTAATTCCAGTATAGACAATTGTTACCAATCTATTCTCCTGCCATGCCAAGAGTTTATGGTCTGTAAATACTATCAATTAAGAAAATCCATATTTTTTATTTCCGTAAGTTCCTCAACTGAGGGTTTATGAGTGACGGCTCTATCGCAAAAGAAGCACGATCCAAATAATGCAATAAACTTGCCATATTTGAGTAGAATCTGTCTTGAGACCAAGCATTTGTTTTGTTTAAATCTTTATATCATGGCTTGTTCTGTAAAATTCATTTTTTAAAGCTTTAGGGTGCATACCCATTGATAGGTTTTCTTCTTGTCGCTCCTCCTTATTGGGCGTGCAGCTTTGAAACGATTTATCACATACGTCATACCCCCTCGTAACTGGGACCTTAAGTAACGATGAGACGCGCTCGCAATATCGACGTTTAGGCAACCAGAGTTCCACCGCCATGCATCAGGAGCGGTATAGGATTGTCCAATTTGAACACAAATGTGCTGCGGTGACGGAAGAGAGTCGATCAGTGGACAGTGAAGCAGAACACGATAGTCCAGTCGACACGGTTATAAATTTGTTATAAATTGCAAGTATTGAATTAGAATTCAAACATTAAAACGGTGTTTTAGTTACAGTGGTGTGCATTGGGAGTGACGTTGACCATTTTTAGAGACTGAACTGTGAGTGTGCTGGGAGTGGATTTTGGCAATTGGAGATGTTCCCTTCCACCGATAGAAGACTGCCTTTGCAATCGGACGCGGACTTCCGGGTTGTGCAAGGCACCTGCTACTATAGAGGTTGATGGGGATCTAATCTGGGAAACATGCCTCGTCTACCTGGATGACATCATCGGGGTAGACAAGACGTTCGACGAGCACCTGCGGAATTTAGAAGAGGTGTTCCAGAGGCTCCGAGATGCAAACTTGAAATTGAATCTAAAGAAGAGCAGCCTGTTCCGGTAGAAGGTGAACTACCTAGGCCACATAGCCAGCCGGGGTGGGGTTACAGTCGATCAAGGAATGAACGATGCCTGACAAGTCGCAATTGAAAAGCGTCCTGGGGTTGAGCACGCCTCAACCAAGGAAGTTCAGAAGTTCGTCTGACAGGAAACTGTCAGCGCGCCTTTGAACAACTGAAATAACGCCCCGATCTTGGGATATCCGTATCCTAGATACGTGTGCAAGCAACGTTGGCATTGATGCAGTGCTGTCACAAGTCCAAGCTCAGGAACGTGTCATCATGCGTTTATGTGGTGAATCGGCCGTTCCCGACGCACTCCAGCGTTTTCTAGATAAAACTCGATTCTGGTAGATGGCGGTCGATTCCCCCTGAAGCGTGTCCAATGTTCGCGATGGAGAACGCCCTCCATACGCGGTCGCGTAGTTATGGTTTCATAATTGGTTGCCAATGCGTCGATATTGCGAGGGTTATCATCGTTACTCAAGGTCCTTGCTATGGAGGAGTTATCATGTATTGTTTATACAGTGGTTTCAAAAATGCTCCCCTAACTTATTCTTTGAACAGGTCAAGTTAACTAGCTGAAATTTGGGATGATGAAACCGATGCATGGATACCATGTTTTGGTGTTGAAAAGGCAGTTGGGAATTTCAAGGTGGCGACTGAAAGCTGATGTCATACCTCATTTCAAAGCTTCTTACCCTAGAATATAATTACGCTATCTTTTAAACACTGACAGATTGTCAAACTTGGTCTTTATTGGAGATTGAATCGCCTATATTCCAATAACCAATCATCTAAACTCTATACTTATTTACTTACTTCTATTGGAATGATCTATACGAATATGTAATTAGATATAAAACATTTCATTCAAAAAGATTTTCAGAAACTGACAATTTTTTTAAACTTAATGCCTCATGTTATATTGCACACTCCTAAAGCAGGAAATACTGCAGCTTTTAATTATCTACCAAAACAAAGAAATTAATGATGATGGATCCCTCGAGCACTAAAAACTCCGGACGTAAACTCACTCCACTCTCGGAATGTCCGGGTGGAGGGTGGGCTCGAGGGAACAACATCGAAGATAAAATTTGTTTTTCGAACATCTGCGGGATCAACAGCAACATTGATGCTGTTCATCACTACCTGCAATCCAATCGTCCCGCCGTGTTTTCTTGGCGGAGACAAAAATCTCAGAGACTGCACCGATTAACCACCTCAACTTCCCAAACTACGAGGTGCACTCCAATCTAAGAAACTCCAAAACATCACCCAAATTTATTTGCTGCCTTTATCGCTCTCCCTCGAACCATAACTGGGATGACCTACTCGAATACCTCGCCGTCCAGATCGACTACCTGAACATCAATCACCCCGCTTCAAAGGTAGTTCTTCTCGGTGATTTCAATGCCCATAATGAGCTTTGGTTGGGCTCAAATAAGACCGATGCAGCAGGTCGTGCAGTCGAAGCGTTCGCTCTTACTCAAGGGCTGACCCAGCTGGTGACGAGCCCTACTTTTTTCCCCCGCGTCTCGTCACACGCCAGTAGCCTGCTAGATCTCTTTCTGACCACGCATCCCGCCCCTTACAGCACTGCTGTCCTGTCCCGCCTGGGTAATTCAGATCACGGTGTTGTGGAGGTTAGGTTTCGGTCAGAAGCCGCTGTGGCAGCAGAAACTCGCACAGGCCGCAAAACTTGGCATTACGGACATGCCGACTGGGAGGGGCTCAGAAACTTCTTCTCTAGCTTTCCTTGGAGAGATGTCTGTTTCACTGACGCAGATGCGTCGACTGTCTGTTCTTCAATAACCGAAATTATCCACGTCGGAATGGAGGAATATATCCCTCACACCATGGACGTCCCCAGCAACGCCCAAGTGCCGTCAATTCAAAGGGTTCCCCACACTATGCGGGAAGTAACATTCAGGCATAAGACCGTAAGACGAGTGCTCTTGTCGCTCGACATCAACAAAGCTTCTGGTCCGGACTTGATTCCTGCCATTGTACTGAAGAGATGTGCAGCGGAGCTTGCTCCAGTTCTTTCGCGTCTCTTCCAGATATCTTATGTATCCGGCACCTTCCCAGAAAACTGGAAATTTGCTCATGTACAGCCCATCCCAAAAAAAGGATCTAAAACCGACCCTTACAACTACAGGCCTATAGCTCTGCTTTCTGTTATAAGTAAAGTGATGGAGAGGTGCATAAATCGCGAGCTTCTGGACTACCTCGAACGTCACAGCTTGATTAGCGACAGGCAGTACGGTTTCCGGCACAGACGATCCACAGGGGACCTCCTAGATTACGTCACGCAACTGTGGAGTAAACTCATCCAGTCTCATGGTGAGGCTCATGTCGTTGCTCTTGACATCACGAAAGCGTTCGATCAGCTGTGGCACGCTGCCCTCTTAAGCAAACTTCCATCCTACGGCCTCCCAGAAAAGCTTTGCAGATGGGTGGCTGACTTTATCTCTGGCCGCAAGATATCCGTCGTAATTGACGGATTCTCCTCTTCATCCCACAACGTCAACGCGGGTGCTCCCCAGGGATCGGTCTTGGCTCCAACACTGTTTCTCTTACATATCAACGACCTCCTTTCCTGCACGACCAACCCAATCCACAGCTTCGCTGATGACAGCACTCTACATGCAGGAATTCAGAGTGACAAGCCGATCTCTGCCGCTGAGCTGGAAAAAAGAAGACTAGCGACGACTTCTTCTCTGACAAGAGACCTGGAGGCTATCACTGCTTGGGGACGCAACAATCTTGTACAGTTCAATGCTTCCAAAACACAGTACTGTACCTTGACGAACAAAAAGCGTCCTAGCGCTCATACAGTTTCGATGGACGGTCGAGTTCTACCAACGAGCCATTCATTTCGGCTGGTCGGAGTCCAGATCACCGAGGACCTGATCTAGCACGAACACATCTCTTCAATAGCTGCAGCTGCTGGGAAAAAGCTAGGCTATTTGTTTAGGGCTAAGAAGTACTTTTCTCCGCATGACCTTCTCACTCTATACAAGGCCCAGATAAGGCCTAGCCTCGAGTATTGCTCACACATTTGGGGTGCTGCCGCCCCGACTACATTGTCCATGCTCGATGCTGTCCAGAGGAGGGCGGTCCGACTGATCGATGACTCTTCTCTAACAGACAGTCTCGGGATTCTTTCGCACCGGCGGGTCGTCGGCGATCTAGCTCTTTTCTATCGCTACACCAACGGGCTTTGCTCCTCAGAGCTCTCTTCCATGATGCCGCCGCGCGATGCGCCTGCCAGACAGACCCGCCTGACTTCGGCATCCCATCCTAACCATGTCAAACTTCGTACATCCAGAACTGGCCGATACGACCGCTCCTTTGTCCCGAGGATATCTAGATTGTGGAACAATCTACGCGAGGAAGCTTTTCCCAGTTCTACTAACCTTAGGCAGTTCAAAAATCGTATTAACAAAATTTCTTTGGGATCATCATAGCAGCCGCGGTGTTCCGGCATTTAGGCTTCTGCCTGCGCGGCTGTTTCGATATAAAAAAAAAAAAAAAAATATTAGTTTTTGACTTATAGGCGATTCAATATATAAAAATGTTCAACTTTGACTGTTTATATTCCACGGATATAATAACGCGTAAGATCCTTTAGGCCCATTATTTTTACGCCAAAATATAGTGTCCGTGAATCAATTTTATAATCTCGAATTTCAGGTTAATAACTTGGCTCCTTAAAAAATTACTAGGGAGGTTCTTTTTGAACAAGACTGTACACGAGACAACATATGTATACGTTCGTATAAAGAGGAAAAGAAGAGGTGAAGATAAATAACAAGGTTATAACAAAAAACTATTATATTTTTCCACCCGCCTCACTCTACAGGTATTTCTAAAACAATCTCGTCATGGATTGCGACAATTTTGAATTTTATTTATATAATTCCGCTTACTGCTTCTGATGTCAAGAAAAACAGGTAGACAGGTGTTCTTTGTTCTTTTCTCGTACAAAAATGCAGAGGGAGCAATGTTCCTATTTAATTCAAGACCTAACAATATGACTTTTATAGAGTTGCTGTTATCGTTTTGTTTTCATTATTTTTATATATTTTTTATCCATTACACGTAATCGTCATGAGAGGCAGATTAGCTGATATCGGTGACATTCAAGTAAAGTAAAACACAAAAATAGCTATTGATGATTCCTTCGGTGGTATTTCCTAATGTGCTGGAGTTTCGTTCAAAACCAACCTTTCTACCTGTTTTCCGTGTGATAATGATTCTAAAGGCTTTAAAAATGATTATCGCAAATGACAACGAGATGGCGTCACTGTGCGCTTACGGTTTGCGTCAACGCTTGTCCCAGGAATTATAAAAACACTCTCGTAATCACGGTACTGTTCGGACTCGGCGGTCCTACAACCAAGGGTATATACACAGTTTGGGTTATCTCCATGAGAAGTGCAGAATTACGTAGTTCAATCAAATTTCTTGTTTGGCTCTTGATGAAAGTATTACATATCCAAATCCACATTACCAATTACAAAAACAAGGCTGTCTCAAATTCGGTATGACCACGAAGTGTATCTATTTTGTTATTTGACATGTTTAAAAGCTTTTTTATGAGTCATTGATGTTGAAGCGCTGAAGTTTTAAACTCATCTTCTCAGTCATGGCAGGACGGCTCTCCAAGAAAATGAGCTAGTTTTATATGGTGCTATCTCAAATCCACACTGTTCCATTTGTAACACAGGTCCACAAAATAAAAAAATGGCACTAATGTCTTTCCCAAATAATGTTTCACGCTGTACAGTAATGCGAAGTCAAAATTGGGGGCCGGAGGATAAATAAGACGGTAGTTTAGGTATCAAGACTGTAGTCTTGTATTTTGACAATTTTGGTGGGGAGGTCTTTAATTCTGATGTCAAAATTACCTTCATATTCATCCACTTTCCTCGAAATCTGACTTGAGGTTCCTGCTCAGAGGGGAAAGGTAGTTGGGAAAAATATCGAAAAACCCCCAACACACACCACTTTTTATCTTTTGTGCACCTGTGGATCGTTTATATGCGTTTTCTTTAAAATTTACCCACTGGCACTCAATTTAAAAAACATAGTCGAACCCACACATCACTTTTTTGTGGCTCTGTGTAATTGATACCAAATGTTCAGTAACATAACAGAGGTAGCCGCGAAATAGTTTTGACAGTTCCTGTCATATAAATTCTGTTTGTACAGCAGTCGCCACCCTGTTAGTCACACAAATTCCGTTCACTCTGCCACGCTATACAGGATATGCCAAAAGTCGACGTCAAGTCATAGTACTTATCAGAAAAACATAAAAAAAATCCAAGTCGTATACTTTTCAAATTACAGTATTTAAAATATCCGGAAAAATCGGAAAAATCTACACCCTGTGATGATCTTTTAGTTCTTATTACTACAACATACAGAAATACGCCAACATGGACCTCATTCATCGTGAGAGGTACTCAAATGCTGCCCGTTATCCCGATTTTGTGAATGAGTACCGTTTACTCTCGAAAGGACGATTCCAAAATCAAGCACATTGTGAAGGAAGAATTTCCTTTCCTTTACGAGGACATCGTACTACAAGCATTTGAAGAACACCCGAATACTTCAGTACGTCAAATAGGAGCAGGCAAGGGAGTGCCCAAAAGTACGAGTACAGTCCACCGAATCTTACGAAAAAACGAGATCCATATGTACCACGTACAGCGAGTACAATCTCTACAATCCGAGATCATTTTGAAAGAGTTGAGTCTTCTCAAACGATGTGATCACTTAAATCCACCCGATTTTTTTACTGGTGGGTGGAGAAAAAAAATTTTACTCAAAGCCAGTCGAAAATTTAGCTGAGCTACGGGACAGCATAACAGATGCAGCCGTATTTGTATACTAAGTGACATATCAATGGTTTTATTTTAATAAAATTTTGTATAAGTACTTAATGAAGCATAATAAGTAAATGATAAAAATTTCAAAATGATTGCACTGCTTTAAAGCCCTTTGACCTTTAATAATGTGTGGATGCACCCTGATGTGCTACGCATTCTCCAACGCGCCTAGGCATGCTTCTGATCAGGTGGTCAATGTCCTCCTGTGGTATCTCATTCCAGGCAACCACCAACTCCTCTCGAAGTGCTTCTAGAGTCTGAGGAGGACGTTGCAAATTGAGCAATCTCCTACCCCTCATATCCCACACGTGCTCAATTGGGGATAAGTCGGGAGATCTTGGTGGCCATGGTAACAATGTGACATCATTATGTTGAAAGAAGTCTATTGTGACTCTTGCAACATGTGGTCGGGCATTATCTTGTTGGAAAGTTGGATCTGCCAGGGTGTCAAGATAGGGTAAAAGATGGGGTTCTAGAACTTCGTGGATATAACGCTGCGCGTTCATGTTGCCTCTGATGAAGATTAAAGGTGACCTGGAACCATAAGCTATAGCACCCCAAACCATAACTCCAACAGTGTGATGAACATGTCTTTCAACAAAAAACTGTGGATTCCTCCTTTCAGCACGTCGCCTTCTAACCCTGGCACGACCATTGTGCATGCCTAAACAAAATCGAGACTTGTCACTAAAGACAATACTGTTCCATTCCTGATCCCAGAGTGACCGTTGTCTGCACCACTCAAGGCGATTACGTCGGTGTTCTCGAGTTAAAGGGAGGACCCAGTGTGGCCGGTATGAAAACAAGCCAAAACTTCTCATTCGTCGGTAAACACTTCACATGCCCATAGGTCTTCCGTGTTCTGCAAACCATTCATTTGCAGTGGACCTGGTAGTGGAGAAACGGTCCCTTAAGGCCAATAATCTTAGGCGGCGATCTTCACGGTCTGGTGTTCTACGGCGGCGTCCAGTGCCCCTTGCGCTTTGCGTACGGCCTTCTCGAAGCCATGCCTGACAACACCTAACCACAGTGTCTACACTTATTTGCACTCTAACTGCAATTGCCCGAAAAGAAAGTCCAGCTTCCCGAAGTCCCACTATACGGCCCCTGTCAAACTCACTAAATTGATGAAATCGTACAGGTCTCCGTACTCTAGGCATCGTAACCGATCGAAAAGGATGTCAAGAACCAAAATCCGCCAACGTTGATTCTTTACTGCGGCTGAAATATTCATTTTTAGAGCGTTAGTGAATTAAAAAAAAGCAGTATAAAAACCGGAATGTCCAACTGATAAGGCTGAAAAAATTTTCACTTGTTATTTACAGTAAGATAAATACATTCACCAACTTTTATTAAAATAAAACAATTTAAACTGGGTGTTCGGATTTATATGTCACTTAGTATAATTAACAGAAGATTAGTCTGATAACCTGATTATTTTTAAGGTTTCACGCTTGCATTGCTGCTGAAGAAAGGCACTCCCGCCTGAGAAAAAATTTAAATTTGAGATAATGGGAAATAAAAGATCATCACAGGATGTAGATTTGTACTATTTTGACAAAGTCCCTAATTTAAAAAGTACACAACTTAGAATTTTCTAATTATATTTTTCTGATAATTATCATGACTTGGCCTATCCCCCGTTTCCGGCACGACGTCGACTTCTGGGACACCCTATACAGTGTATTTGGTTACCAACTAGCGATATTTGAAAGACGTGTAGAACAGTCCATTTCAACCACAATTTAACTCCATAAGAGAGGTCAACCACTCCCGTCTTGCAATGGCCGCCATTTTTGTTTTTCGATATAAAAAATGACACGTCTGAAAGAGAGTGCTGTTTTTTGTATCCAGAGGGCGACCAGATATAAAAAAATTTAATGATAGGGCAATAGTACTACCTGTCCTATAATAATAACACAAGGCATACAATTTTAGCCCAGAAATTACAGAAAATTTTTTACATTTTTAATTTTTTCACAAAAGTCAGATCCTTAGCATATGAATTTTATGTACTCTCAATTACCTAGAAAGTAGTGCCTCTAGGTCTAAAAACTTAAAAGTTGTTACTAATTGAATACGACCCTTGTATCACCGGTACACAGCTGCCAGCGTCAACCACCGCAATGATCACATACGGACGGAGGAAAATCCAAGAGCAGTACGACCAAGTACATTCCGTTCTAGCAGGTATCATCGACGACCAACTAATTGGACCTATCGAATAACCGCAAACATTAAATGGACCACGATTTTTGGAATTCCTAAGAAACGAATTTTTCGAATCGCTGATGGACTTGCTAAGAATGTATTTGCAGATGGACGGTGCACCAGCGCATTTCGCTCGTCCAGTTAGAGAGCACTTGAATATCAACCACTCGCCTTGGATAGGTCGTGGTTGACCGTGGCTTGGCCACCGCGCTCACCAGACATGACGCCGTTGGATCTTTTTATGGGGATGGATGAAGCAACGTGAACTCGTCCAACAAATAATGTCTTTAGGCGATGAAATAAGAGCTGATAGGGAAATGATTCGTCGGGCCACAAGCCAGGTAGCAATACGGGCGACGGCTTGTCTATTAAATTCAGGTAGACGCAACTTTTGTGCTGAATGTATCAATTTTATCAGTAACATTGTTAAAATTGTGTTTAAATAAACATTATTACTTTTATTGGTTTGTTTTGTTTATTGGCAGTTTTATTGTTTTAATAATCATGTGCAGTGCGTAACATAGGTCAAAATCGAGCTCTGATAACTGTTTTTAGAACTAGAGTAATGATTATGATTCCGCCTTCTAGGTAATTGAGAGTAGTTTTGAAATCACATAAAATTGATATGTTGAGGATCTGTTTTTTGTGAAAAATTAAAAAATGTAAAAAAATTGACATTTTTTTATTTCTGGGCTAAAATTTTAAGCTTTTTTTTATTATTAGAGGGTGGATTACAATTTTTTTATATATGTACGCCCTCTGGATACAAAAACACATCATTATCTTTCAGACATGTCATTTTTTTATATCAAAAAACAAAAACGGCGGCCATTCCAAGGGGGGAGGGGTAGCGGTGACTTATGGAGTTAAATTGTGGTCAAAATTGACTGTTCTACTCGTCTTTTAAATATCGCTAGTTGGTAACCAATCTCATTGTATAGACCGAGCTCACACGGCCGGATCCCAGACACAGTCGTTGACCACTGTACGAACAAACTTCTAATGTACATATAATCGGCGATGGGCATTTAATCAACAAACTATCAAATCAGACAGCCAAGCGAAAATAGATGTCATACTGACAAAGCCGGTATTCAGCATAAAAGCGCTGCACCTCGATACCGCTTTTTGTCGACTGAACGCGCTCATGTACAAAGTGTCCCGCGAGGTAAGGGACAAAATTTTTCAGCGTGTTCCTCAGGTCAATTCGAGTCGAAAAAGTCGTATGAACATGGGTCCGCAAATGCTTCCTTATCGAGATACGATTTTTTATTTTTAGTGGGCGAAAACCACAATATTGTTGGAAATGGATATTAAAATGGGCAAACACGGGAAATTTCATGTCAGATAGGCTGCGTTATTTGAGATTTCGATTCGGAATCTATCTTACTGCAACAAATTTGATTGAACTAGTAAACCACGTATAACATGTGGTCACACTAACTTTCAAATAGTCAATAAATACCATTTTGATCAATGCACACTTTATTGAATTTGCACATTTTTTTACAAAGGTAATAGGTATATTTGAGCATAATATTTGCATTAGCTAGATACATGCTGAATAAATGTACGCTAAATGTAAAAATCATATAGGAATATAGAATAATATAGAATATTGCAAATCCATTATCATTAGTGACGTAGTAGTTGGGGCACAAGAATTTATTCATCTTTTACAGGACGTTGGTATTTCAACAAGTCTTTGTCGTTCAATACACTAATCAACATCGGATCTAAGAGTTATCACTGGTCGCCGTAGGGGTATCTTAGGATTTTTGAGATCGCCCATCTCAATGCGAAGTCTTTTTTGACCTCTATCACGTCAAGTTCAAGGTCATTTTAAGATTAAACCTTAACAAGATGCTTAAAAGGTTTTGGAAGAACGTTTTATTGCAGTTCCTTCAGTCACTGAATCCAAACCTAGTGGCGTTTGTCTTACCCAGCAAGGTCATCCTGAGGTTATTTCAAGTCAAATCAAGGATACTTCAAAGTCAAAGTTTGTGAAAGTACTTAAATCTATTTGGAAGTCCCTCCTACAAATTTTCTGGGTGTGTAAATCCAAATCTAGCATCCGTTTTACCCCGGGAGGTTATACAGAGGTTATTTCAAGGTCAACGTGTGTAAAAATCTTTGAATAGGTGTATCTAAAACCAGGTCGATTTATGGGGTATTTACATGAAGGTGAAAGTAGCGAAGCAAACGCCATATTTGGATTCAGGGATCCATAAAGCTTCATTAACGTTTTTCCTGATATTTTTTAAATTTGACCTTGTAGTGACTTTGAACGTGTTAAAGGTCAACTCGCTACGGTATTGAGTTCTGCGACCCCAAAAACTCTTATGGGGTCCAGTGATAACTCTTAAATCAAACATTGATCTGTCTCATCCCTTTTTCTCTTAGTTAATAAACGACAACTGGAAACGTAACGCAAAAATATTAACATTCCAGAATATCTAAAACTACTTGACTTTTCATCAGAACTGAATTGTAAATTTTATGTTCTTCCCCTACTATAGCAAAATCTGTTACTCTAATTATTTATCATAAACCTTAATCCCAAAATCTAAAACCAAAGTCCCCTACAAGTACAAGCTACTTCAGAGTATCGTATATACAAAGATAAAAACGGAAAATCAGTCCTCTAACTGCTGTCAAACTGTTTGTAGACAATATTTTCAACTACAGCCGCGTGATGACAGTTATACCTGGTAATAAAAACAGGTTATTTTAGATGCAGCAACTGTGGCTCACTCAAAAGTTCTTTAAAACCGGCAACTTACTGCATCATATTGGAAGAATGTGTTACGGCAGTTAGAGGAACAATACCCAATTTACTTATTAAAACCCTTATTATTGACCAGGCTACTGTTAGTGAAGAATTAGTTGAAAGTTAGTTTGACAAACATTGGTTGACGTATGGTGACAGTTGAAGTCTAAGATACTCACTTTTTCAAAGGCACTTGACTATCTGTGGCGTTTGCTCCATTCCTCGTATCGGTAAATCGACAGGCTACCATGTTGTAAGCTGAAACAAAAACGACTCAACCTATAGACAACTAGATAATTTATGTTTATCTTTGTTTCAAATTATCATACTTGGCGCATAAGTTAGTAATTAAGGACAGATCATTCATCTAATGCACTCCTTACCGGAGAAAGATCATTGACCAGTATTAATGACATTTGTCATCCGTACTGGTGACACAAAAAATCTCCATTATTTGTAACAGCGTTCACTGATACCAGCAACTGCCGACGATGTTTATTCAAGAAATCTCCCAATTTTCAAACATCCCCTTGAAGTCATTACATCTAACTAACCAACTTTTCTCACCTATACGGAACACGCCTCTCTAAATAACTTCATTATTAAAAAAAAGTTATGTTATTAATTTAATTCATAGTAATTAATTCCAACAGTTGAAGCATAACAACATATTATTGAAATGGCTTTGAAACCTCTGCGTTATGCTGCCATAATACAAGAATAGAAACTATGCAAATATTGTCTACGCTGTTGATGAAATGAGCATCTACGCTTAACAGTAACTCGATAAATACAAAAACTGTAGGTTAGTTCACTTAATTTTATAAGCATCCTCGGCGGCTCCAAGAGTTACCTAATTTGACCTCGCATCGAAAACTTTCATGATATATATAGGGTGGCGCATCGAAAACGAAACAGACGCATTTACTGGCAGCTCAGTTTTTTGGAAAAACGCTCAGACCCGTCGATTTTGTTTTCGAGGGGGACACAAGTTTGGCAAAAAATCACGTTAGCACGTGTAGCCCCCTGGGCGGGGGTGACACCAACCCTAAAATCTTAAATGGAAAGGGGTGTCGAGTGATACCTTATCTTAAAGATCTTTCAATTCGCTTTATATAATATATATATATATAATAATGATATAAAATTAATGTTGCAAACAGTCTCTCTTACAGTACGTTTTTCTATAGGTTTATTCAAACCCTTCTTTCAATACCCGCAAAGATGTTGTCTTAAGCAGAACTCCTTTTCGTTTTGGATATATAGTTGCAACAATAAAATCTTTTTTGAACATAATGTAACGCACTCGTATAACTGGAACACTGGGTTCCAGCGAGACATCCTCGTACATCGACCAGAAGACTTGACAGGTGTCCAGAAACATCGCTTAGACAACCAGGTTTACGCGGCTGTGTGTGAGCGATTGCGGCCTCTTGGAGGAGCGTCAATTCACGTTCGAGAGCGACTTCAGGCATCGTCTGGAATTTCGACAAAGGCGCTATTAAAAAATATAAAGTCGGTATTCGACAACTTTTGTCTTAATTCATTTATTACGAGATACATGTCAATTCCTACGAATAGAAGCGATAAATAAAGCAAGTACACCAATATACAACAGGAGGACAATTGCTCGTCCCGCCACTGCTCCAGATGGTGTTCTTGGATCAATAACTCCATCTAAGACCATGGTCATGAATTCGCGATATTTGTCAACTCGAGTGAAAATCCCTGGAAGGTTATCCGAACATCCGATGCCCCACGTGACCAGGCCATATTGTACACCTCCACACATTAGAGGGGCTCCAGAATCACCATAGCATGCGTCTTGGCCAGTGGTGTTGGTGCACATAAATGTATCTCCCATGAACAGGTCATTGTATTTTTTGTAGACCTCTTTACATTCGTTGTGTGCGAGAAACTTCAGCTGTGCGCAACTCAGTACCAACTCATCCTTCGCACCCTTTTTGTCACCTAAGGTAGATATATAAAGAGTTTATGAGAATTGTTACACTGATATCGTACTGGAATTTGCGGCATGCAAGTTGAAACTTCGCATAGAAATACATGATTAATGACAGCTTTTAAGTAACCTTCGGCACCTTTATTACGTCAAAAAGGCAATATCTTCGCATCTGATGAGAAAAATATTGTGATTCGGATTTTTTGCATAATCTGATTCAAAAAGGACTTTAAGCCATACCTAAATTTTCGTCAATAATTCTTTGAACAATTTTCTTTAAGCGAATTACAAAAAGTTTTTTGGGACTTGCTGAAGAAAAAACTGCCTTAAGAACTTTTTTCTGAAGTTGTTACTTTTCGAAATATACTAAGTGACATATAAATCCGAACACCCAGTTTAAATGGTTTTATTTTAATAAAAGTTGGTGAATGTATTTATCTTACTGTAAATAATAAGTGAAAAAAATTTCAGCCTTATCAGTTGGACATTCCGATTTTTATACTGCTTTTTTTTAATTCACTAACGCTCTAAAAATGAATATTTCAGCCGCAGTAAAGAATCAACGTTGGCGGATTTTGGTTCTTGACATCCTTTACGATCGGTTACGATGCCTAGAGTAGGGAGACCTGCACGATTTCGTCAACTTAGTGAGTTTGATAGGGACTGCGGGAAGCTTTACTTTCTTTTCGGGCAATTGCAGTTAGAGTGCAAAGAAGTGTAGACACTGTGGTTAGGTGTTGTCAGGCATGGCTTCGAGAAGGCCGTACGCAAAGAGCAAGGGGCACTGGACGCCGCCGTAGAACAACAGACCGTGAAGATCGCCGCCTAAGATTATTGGCCTTAAGGGACCGTTTCTCCACTACCAGGTCCATTTCAAATGAATGGTTTGCAGAACACGGAAGACCTATTGGCATGCGAAGTGTTTACCGACGAATGAGAAGTTTTGGCTTGTTTTCATACCGGCCACACTGGGTCCTCCCTTTAACTCGAGAACACCGACGTAATCGCCTTGAGTGGTGCAGACAACGGTCACTCTGGGATCAGGAATGGAACAGTATTGTCTTTAGTGACGAGTCTCGATTTTGTTTAGGCATGCACGATGGTCGTGCCAGGGTTAGAAGGCGACGTGGTGAAAGGAGGAATCCACAGTTTTTTGTTGAAAGACATGTTCATCACACTGTTGGACTTATGGTTTGGGGTGCTATAGCTTATGGTTCCAGGTCACCATTAATCTTCATCAGAGGTAACATGAACGCACAGCGTTATATCCACGAAGTTCTAGAACCCCATCTTTTACCCTATCTTAACACCCTGGCAGATCCAACTTTCCAACAAGATAATGCCCGACCACATGTTGCAAGAGTCACAATAGACTTCTTTCAACATAATGATGTCACGTTGTTACCATGGCCACCAAGATCTCCCGAATTATCCAGAATTGAGCACGTGTAGGATATGATGGGTAGGAGATTGCTCAATTTGCAACGTCCTCCTCAGACTCTAGAAGCACTTCGAGAGGAGTTGTTGGTTGCCTGGAATGAGATACCACAGGAGAACATTGACCACCTGATCAGAAGCATGCCTAGGCGCGTTGGAGAATGCGTAGCACATCAGGGTGCATCCACACATTATTAAAGGTCAAAGGGCTTTAAAGCAGTGCAATCATTTTGAAATTTTTATCATTTACTTATTATGCTTCATTAAGTACTTATACAAAAATTTATTAAAATAAAACCATTTAAACTGGGTGTTCGGATTTATATGTCACTTAGTATAGAAGCGATACAATATTTGGAAAAAATGAGAATATGCCATACGCTGAGCGCACCCTTGGCTGACAAAAAGCAAATGCTGCTGAAATGCCTCAGGATTTTCTTAATGGATGAAGAATATTAAGGAATATCGGCAACATTAAAATTTTTGATTTTTCATATTGTTATTCACCGTCGAAAATGGCATATACAGTACTTTTTCAAATATTGTATCGTTTACATCTCGGAAAATATTAACTTTAGAGAAAAGTTCAAAAGTACCCTTTTTGTTGAGAGCGTGCCAAAAATACTTTGACTGAAGCAGAAAAAACTATTTTTGAATTTTATTTAAAAAAAAGTGTTGACGAAAAATTGGGGCCGGGCAACATGCAGATTAATAAAAAAGAGCCTTTTTGAATGGGAATATTTAAAAAATCCGGATCAGAATATTTCTCCAATCATATGCGAAGTTATTGTCCATACTAATAGTCGAAACTGCACATGAAAATTGACTCCAAAGGTATCAAAAGCTGGATCAATCTAAATTGAGGTATGTTCGGTTAAATCGCCTTAGCCAAATTTTGTTATCGATTGTTCACCCCTAACCCCAAAAACATCGGTATTTGCTCAAAATTTTCTGAAAAAACTATCGATGATACGAGGGATGTCTTTTAAGTTTTGCATATAGAAACATAGTAGACCGCGCGGATCGAACGTCAGCACTGAATCTTAACCTCACTCTTTAGTAAACTTAAATTCAAAGTTTCACAACAATACGTGCAGTGTTCTCACTACAGTGAATTTTTAGGTGTTTTAGGCATTAGAAAAATGGGGTAAGAAAACAAGTTTCTCGTTGGATACCCCACCTGTTGACTGAAGAGCAGAAAGCAGCTAGGGTATCAAAAAACGCTTGACCGTTTCAATTCTGGAAACTCTAAAAATCTGAAATAAGTGCTTCGAAAATTGGTTCGAGCGCATGCAGATGTGTATTAATCTTCGTTGAGAATACTTCGAAAAACAATAAAGTCATTTAAAACTACCTACCGTGTTGTTTTATTTCCATATGCAAAACTTAAAAGACATTGTACATTGTTCATCCGTTTTTATTTTAGGTGTTTATTCGACAAAAATTTTCTTTTTCGAATTCTTAGTAACGGCATAAGAAAGTGAAATTTTAAGGATTCACTCTACATAAGTGCTTTCTTGCCTTGTTTCCAGATCCATGAAATCATGAACTTTTGTCCTAAAAATTGCCAAAATTCGGAAAAACTACATGTTCACCGCTTTTCTACAACTTTTAATATTTTAAACTGAGGATATGATTAGTTTGTAACTTGGTAACATGACAAACGAAGTATCTTTGTCCATTCCTTCAGGGTCTGTCATAGTCAAATTTTTTATTTGTCTTCCGGAAAATTGCAAAAATAGGAAAAACCGCATTTTTCGCAGAATTTTTTCGAATGTTGACATTTCTTTTCAAGAAAGGCTAATACAGTAACGAGTGACAAATTGTATACATGTGCTTTTTAGATTATTTTCAGATCCGTTATCAAAATAATGACATCTTGTCCAAAAAATGGTCAAAAATCGTAAAAACTGCGTTTTTACCGGTTTTTGCCGATATCATAATTTTGATAACGGAACTGAAAACGATGTTAAAAGTACATATCTCCTAGGGGTTACTGTATTAACCGTTTCCCTTTACTGCAGGGGTATTCTGTATTTTGCAAAGTAACAAAATATCGCTTCTTTGACATTATATAGGCTTTTTGTGGCATTATGTAGATTTTTCTATAAGACGTCAACTTAGAACTTGATGTGCACTTGTTCTGTAGCTATACGTGTTGCCTAAACGCCATGCTTCAGCTATCAATGTTTGGGTCTGATGTGATGTAACATCTGCTTCAGAAATGGCATTATTGGTGGTCTAGGCTGTATTCTATAGCTGGAAGCAAATTGCAGTGCATAAGTGCTAGTGATGGGCAAAGTGACTCATTTGAATGTTTTGAAACAATTGAATCAATCACCTATGATGTTTCGAAACACTGATTCGAAACATTTGAATCAGTATCTCGTACCTCGTATATCTAGTTTTGCGAAACATGAATTAGCAGAACGTATTTAGTTTTATACTATTCAAGACACTCAACTCAGTATGTGACACAGTCGTTTTGCAGGACGCAGCGGTACAGTGTACAGCGGAAGGTCGAACACTGCTTGATGCACGTTTAACTACTTCATATCATCTATATATTTTCACCATGAAATTAAAAAAAATATGGCTGTTTTTCGTTTCTTCGACACATACAGATTTGATAACACTTTTGAGACTCTACGGATGGGTCAAATTAACCGAAATAAAATCAGATTTAAAAAACTATATTTTTTTGTCTAACTTTTGATATGATTGATTGCATACTTTTTAAAGAAAAAACTCTAAAAATATTCAATTTCTCCATTTCTAGTGCTATTACAGATTTGATCTCACTCCTGAAAATTTAAGGATGAGCCTAATTGGCCGAAATAAAACTAGATTTGTATTTTGTTTTGTTCTCCAGCGCTCATTTCCTCGTCTGAACAAATCTATAATTCTCTCATCTCATGCCTATTCATACGAAGCAGCTCGATTTTGCATGTCGCAGTATCGCCTTCGACGACTCGCGGTGCCGCGTTGTCATACATTCATATACTAGTACAATACTGCTTCTTAGTAGCAACTTTTTTTTAGAATCGAAAAGCATGGTAAAGCTGCTACTGTCAAAAAGCAGCTTCAAAATAGCAGCTTATGAAATACCAATCTATCCCTAATTGTAACATATGTAATTTTGAAATAAAAATTGTTAGAACTTCTTAATTTGTATTGACGTAACAAACATAAAATTAAAATAGGTACGTAGAATTAGTAGAAACAAAAAAATACAAACATGTATATAACCAAAACATGTGTAAAACAACAAATTAATAAGTAAAAACAAAAATTAACTTTTTCATAAATATAACAATATAAACATAAAAGAATATGTAGCAACCAACGAACCAACTAAAAAAGAAAAGGGCTATTTGATGGTTGATATCTATTATATCGCAAATCGTATTTTTTTCAAACAACTAACAATTTTATTGTTATTTTTCGCTATTCATGATGAATGAGTTAAAGTAACTATTTAGGAATATAATCTTTGACGATTTCTCGGCACTTAATCTGTTCCGCCTTTCTGTTATAATCTGTCCTGATTTCGAAAATATCCGCTCGCATGGGA